CATTGCTATTCTGCTTGGGGTTGCCTAGTGCTGGTGCGGCATTTCTCCGCATGGGGATATTTACATTATGCTGAGGGGATGCTGGATTGCAGGCTGGGGTTGGCGTGTTTTCAGTACCAAGCTGCACAGCTTTGAAGGCACCAAGTTTTTCCTTTAAAAAATAATAATTTAAACCTGCATCCCTTCTCAGGTGTGGATGGCTTGACTGGACTTGAGGAACCTGTAACGCCGAGGTGACCTCCTGCCTCTCCTGCAGTTGCAGCACGCTCCTGTGGCTTGTGGCCTGTGCCTGCGTGCGAAGCACGAACTATAAAGCCAATGTGACCTTTGAAAGTCCTCCTCCTTCTCCAGCAATTATCACACGGTAGATTGCCATGTGGTATTTGATAAACACAGCGGATCCTGTGCTATATTCATTAATGAGCAACCGCAGAGCAGCAATTGTAGGCAAAGGAAAGATATTGAGAGAGGCGATGGAAGAGAGGGGCCCGCAGGGTCGATCCTTATCTGGGTTTCTATACCAGGCCTTTGGAGCACGATCTTGCTTCTCCAAATCCACGAGGGAAAGCAAGGTAGCCTTTGCCAGATTAGCAGTGCCCTTTAGAAAAAGAGACGGGGAGAGAAAGAGATAACACTCACGACCGTTGGGAAAATCGCTTTTGCAATTTTGTACACCATTTGCAAAATAAATGCAAAATGCAATTCCTTCAAATTGCATTTTGTACACCATTTCAAAATTCCGGGGATGGGACAAGTCTGCAAGCTTGTGCACGCCTCATGTTTGCTTCCAGGTCAAAATATGGGGGCTGACAGGCTACATCAGAGTCTCCTTTTCATAATTTTATAAATCTGTAGCTGTTGGGCAAGTCACATGCTCTCAGCTTCAGGGAAAGGTGAGGGTAAACCTCTTCTGAACAAGCCTTGCCAAGAAAACCCCATGATAGGGTCTCTCCATAAGTGAGAGACTTGAAGGCATACAACCGCCATCACCACCACAAACTATGTTAAAGAAACCCAGTGAAACCCAGTTAGTGAATTACGAAGATGTGTACCCAGGTGACCCTGGCAAGCTTGCTCCAAGGTATATCTGATGTGCACTGGGCAAATCTGATGCATATCAAGCACTTTTGATGCACATCTGGCAATCCTGTTGTGTTCAGGCACTTGCTAGCTGGTGTCTGGATGTACATCAGGGAATGACCCTAATGGACATTGCTACCCATGGTACATCAGTCAGTCCACTAGCTAGAATTGCACAATAAATGCCTGTATGTTGTAGTGTCACAACAGTCCCCAGGTGAATGTGAACGTGGCAAAACTTTGTTGTTGTTGTGTGCCTTCAAGTACTTTCTGATCTATGGTGACCCTAAGGTGGACCTAGCATGAGGTTTTCTTGGCAAGATTTGTTCAGAGGAGGTTTGTCAGTGCCTTCCCCTGAGGCTGAGAGAGTGTGACTTGCCCAAGGTCACCCAGTGGGTTTCATGGCCAAGCCAGGAATCGAACCCTCGTCTCCAGAATTGTAATCCAACATTCAAACCACACCATTCTGGCAAAAACTACTCTTCAATTCATACCCATATAAGGCCATTTATGAAGTTGCAAGCCCCAGAACCTGTTTCCTGTGCAGAAAATACTGTTTTCTGCACAGAAAACACTGTTTTCTTCGCAGGAAACATCCCCCCCCCAGTAACCGAGTTTGAGTTGCAAAAACCCCATGTGTTTTTCTACGCAGAAAATTTCCTTTGCAGCATGTCAAGATATTTAAGTCTGGGGAGGGAATGGAATACTAGAAGGGAATATTTGGGGAATTTTCTCTCGCTTTGCTGGAGAAGGCCACCATAATGATTTCCTCCTGCCTCCATGTAAGGATGCAGTAGCCAACGATTTACATCCCTCTTGCAAACTCAGTCGCCTAGTCTCGAGAGAGAATCACCGCAGGCGTCTGGCGCTGACCCACTTGGCTGCTTTTTTAGTTCCTACGTCGAGCACTAAATCATCTCGCTCGGTTGTTGCGTCTGCCCGAGGAGCTGTGCACGATTCCAATAAAGTGGCACCTGTCTAAAGCACCTATTCTCGCTCCGAAGATTGCTTTGGAAGCCAACTCCTTCCCCTATTCTTTGTCACTGGAGGCTTTTCACCACCCCTTGTATTCCACAATGGCCCTGTTCTCTGCTGATTTGAAAGCCAAGAGGTGAAAGACCGTTCTTTTGGTAGAAGGTATATTACAGAGAGA